CCATGAGACTCTTGAATGCTGAGAACAATGTGAGGGCCGATTGGAGTGGGGAAGAGGGAAAGGGGTTGATGGGCATGGAGGAGGGCACTTGTGGGGATGACCACTGGGTGTTATATGGAAACCAACTTGACAATAAACTATGATTGGAAAAAAAAATAGATTTGACTGATACAGGAAAAAAAAATAATCTCACGATTCATAAGTTCGAGCCCTACATTGAGCTCTATGCTGACAGCTGAGAGCCTGGAGCCTACTTGGAATTCTGTGTCTCCATCTTTCTCTGCCCCTCCCCCACTGGCTCTCTCTCTCTCTCTCTCTCTCTCTCTCTCAAAAATAAATAAACTTTTTTAACAAAATAAGAAGTACCTTTGAAAGTTAGGAAAATGTCCCCTTTCTTCCTTTGTCACAGACCTGTGTCAAAATAGACGGTTGGCCAATCCCACCTATTCCCTCCAGAGGGCAGCCTAAATCTGCACAGCCTTATGCCATCTTCCTAGTTTGGCTGGGATAAGAAGGGTGAGATGGAGGTTAAGGACTTCAATTATAGAGAAGGGTATTCCTCTAAGCTGTCCGCATGAGTGAGAAAAATAGTCTATTTATATGGCTGTCTAGTGGAGATTTAAACAGTCACCTAAAGTTGGATATGTATTAAATAGTTGTCTTTTTGTTGCTAAATTTTTTAAAGGAAGGATAAATATGCTCTATCTTAGATATTACCAGGCACAATAAAAAGTAATTCACAATTTGGCAACATTCTAAGATTTTAAATACTTAGGAGAATTCACAACAATGAGTCACAATTAAACTCAAATCAAATATCATTGCACTAAATGTGGACTACAATATACTGTTTTAGAGTATGCATTTTCCTTGAGTGGACAGTCAACACAAATTCAGTTACAAAATATACAAAATTCTTTCTCTGTTCTATCTAGGTTTTTGTTAGATGTCCCACATCAAAATTCCACTCAGACTTCATGACGTGATTCAGATCCCAGGCTAACCTTGGTCAAGGCTCCACAAATGATATTACATGATCCTCTGATTATTGGGTGTTTTGCTTGTGCCTCTATTATGGAATATTTTTTGAAATCTTTTTAATGTTTATTTTTGAGAGAATGATAGAAGGAGAGACAGAGCGGGAGCATGGAGAGCCAGAGAGAGAAAGACACAGAATCTGAAGCAGGCTCCAGCTGTCAGCACAGCTGTGAGATCATGATCTGAGCTGAAGTTGAATGCTTAACCAACTGAGCCACCCAGCCACTCTTGTGCCTCTATTAAGAATTAACTTTTATGATTATAGGTAAGTTTTGATTAGAAAGCCTAGAAAATCTCTACCTATCCTTCAAGCCCAGCCCAAAAGTTCTTTTTTATTTGAAATCACCCCTCACCCTCCTTAACCTACTTTGTCACTCCCTCCCTCTATGCTAATATTAAAGGTAGAATACACATCATGTGACCCTCACTAACTTACATTGCTGATAAAGATTTTCTTTAGTGGGGTTGGGGGGTAGAAGAGTAGAGGTTCACTTACATTAGTGAGCTCATTCAGGGCAGAGAATGTAAGATATCTTTTTCATCTTTGCTCCCCTGAAATAATATAAAACCTGGATCATAGTTTCTAAGCCTGGAAACTATTGACACTTGGGGCCACGTAAGTACCTGTAGAGGGTTGTCCTGTGCATTGTGAGATATTTGGCAGTATTCTTCTTCAGTCTCAACAGCCAATAACATCTCCAAATATGGCCAAATATTCCTTGGGGGATAAAATTACCCCAGGAGAGAACCACTGATCTAACCCATAGTGAGAATTAGTGTTAAGGACTTATGTCAGGAATTATCAGGTTTTGTCCTCTCCCTTACATCTTCCACATTATGTAACACTAGAAAGGGGTTCAATAAATGTATTCAAATGAAGAAATAAGTTGCAAATAATACTAAAATCTTTCCTCTAAGTCATTAAAATAGGCTTTACAGGAATGATAATGTTTTCATGTATTCATGAAGGAGACAGTATGCAATATTGGCTAATGAGGCAAATTCTGGAGTGAGGTTGGGTGGGTTCAGATCTATGGTATATGAGTTTATACCATGTTATACCAGTATAATAACCTTGAGCAAGTCATTAAATTTGCTGCACCTCAGTATCCTCACTCTAAAATGGTGATAACAAATAGTATTTAGCTCAACAAGACTATGTGAAGACTATATGATAAGCTATGCAAAGCACTTGGAGCCATAGGTGACAAGAATCAGTTATTATGTATATATTATGTGCATGTATCAGTATACTAATATATCATATCTAATACAGAATATAAAGACATATACAATCATTTTCAAAGCAACTCATAATAATAGGTGTAAAAAGGTTCTAATATTTTCTTTCCTAACCCAGTGGATTTTTTTTTTTTTTGTATGCCTTGAGTGCTATGCACTGTTCTTTGAAGATTTATGATTTTAGGAGCACACTGAGGATAGATTAGGGATTGACATTCTTCATGGCCAGGAAGCTGCTTACTGAAGGCCCCTGTGGAGACAGACTGGGTTCTGTGATTTTGGCAGTTACATCTGGTGGGCCAGCTTCATATTAAGTTCTTTGTTTACACTCCCATCTGCCACCCTAAAGTTTATGTTTAAACATTACATCCTGCTTTTTACCTCTGATCCATGGAAATTAAGGAATTAAGGAAAAGTTCTGTGTCCAAAATTGCATTCAAGAATTTACAAGGTAGATAGAAGCAGAGGTTATTATTCAAATGTTTACCCATTCATCTGACAGACATTTATGAGCATTTAATGTGCCAATCTTGTTATGGAAGTTGAGAATTATCCTGGAATAAAGCATTCAAAAGTGGCTGCCCTCTCAAAGCTTACATTATGGTGACAGAAGAGCACTTCAGGGAAGGAGAGCAACAGGTCAGAGGCTATGATACAGGAACATGCTTAGTGCGTCGGGGAACCACCGAGAAACCATGGTGCCTGGAGCCATGTGAGCTTGAGTAAGAAGAAGGACCAGAGGCTGGAGAAGTGAAGGGTGAGGTGTGGAGGAGGAGGGTCACAGATTGTACAGGGCTATGTTGTCATTATAAGAAATTCAGCTTTTACCTCAAGGGAGTTAGGAAATCATTGAAATATTTTTTTTTTATGTTTTATTTATTTCTAGGAGAGAGAGAGAGAGACAGCATGAGCAGGGGAGGGTCAGAGAGAGAGGGAGTCACAGACTGAAACAGGCTCCATGCTCTGAGCTGGCAGTCAGCACAGAGCCCGACGCGGGGCTCGAATCCACGAACATCGAGATCATGACCTAAGCGAAAGTCGGACGCTTAACCGACTAAGCCACCCAGGCGCCCCGGAAATCATTGAAATATTTTTATCAGACAAATGATACCACCTGAAGGCCCTTTAACTGGATCATTCAGCCTGCTGGGTTCAGAATAGACTGAGGCAAGGGTAGTGTACAAGGGCAGAAGCATGAAGACCAGTCAGGATTCTCCTATAAAGTACTAAAGTAAAATAGTACAAATGAGAGAAATGATGTTGGCCCATGCTACATGGACAGCAATGGTCAAATTCTGTATGTATTTTGGAGGCAATACACTTAGGCTTTGCTAACTAATGAGCCAACTGATATGGCCATTAAGAAAGAGGGAAGTCAAGGATGATGCTAAGACATTTTTTTGACCTGAGCAACTTTTGACCTGACTTTTGAAGAATGGAGCTACCTGCTTTTAAGTAAGAGTGTGACAGAGTGGAATGTCAGGAAGTCAGTTTAGACATGTTAAGTGGAATACGCCATTAGAATCTATAGACAACTAGATATACTTGTCTGGAGTTCAGGACAGAAGACCAGATTAGAGCTCTCAATTTTGGAGTTGATAGCATATGGATAACCTAAAGCCATGGGACTGAATGAGATCACCCAGAAGGGAATATGGATAGGGGAAGAAATCAAGTGAATTCTGTATATATTTTATAGTTAGGGTTAACAGGATTTGCTGGCAATTTAAATGTAGGTATAAAAGATAAGGTTCAAGGATGACTCCAAGGACTTAGGGTGGCAGGAAGTGAAGTTATTGATGGACCGACCCTGGGGCTCTCCAATACTAGAGATAAAGAGGAATCAGCAAACCGAGAAGGAATTGTTAGAAAGGAAGAAATCAAACCAGGGACGTGTGATATCTTAGAAGCCAAGTGAAGACAGTGTTCAGGGAGCAAGTAATGGTCCTTGAAACCTGTGTCAAATGCTACTGGATTAATGTAAAAACTGAGCAATGACAATGGGATTTTACATGATAGAGATCATGGTCAATCATACTTAAAGCAGAGTCCGTTGAGAGGGATGGTAACAAAAGAAAGGTTGGTAAGAGAGTGAATCTTAAAAGTTCTTATCACAAGAAAAAAGGTGTGTTTTTTTTTAACTTTGATGACATAATAAGTTGTGTTGATCATTTTGCAGTATATACAGATATTGTTGCAGGATTTTTTACCTTAACACTCCATTGTCTTGCCACTTCGAAGAATGAAGAGGTGGACACAAAATGAGCAGCAAGCAAAAGTTTATTAGAGTAGAAGATTGGAAAGGAAGAATAGTATTAAAACTCTCTCTACAGAGAGGGGGGCATTTGAAAGTGAATGCCCATCAGTTTTAGGCAAGGGTTCTTGTTTTATAAGGTTCTGGTCATCACTCCCCTCCACAAGGAGGGCAAATCTCAGCTTTCAAGAGTTTAAGTCATTAGGTGTATACTTGAAGGAGAAGGGGTTATTTCTAAACAAAGTTGGTAGGTTTCTACCAAAAGGCTTTTGATCTACTAGTAAGACTGACACTGTAGCAGTCTGTCAAAAATCTTAAGTGATAACCAGTTTGGGGGCCACCACCTCTGAGCTTCTAGGTGCCACTAAAGGCCCTGAGTGTTGCCAGGCAACTGAGCCTGTGTGTTCCCCCAGGCAAGTGGCCCACCCCCTTTCTTGTCTTTCCTCACTTCCTGTCACTGGCCTACTTCCTGTCTCTGGCTAGCTTGGACTCTGAGAGTGGGGTGAAGACCTGGTTGGAGGTGCCCTCAAGCCAGGGTCCAGGCCCCAGGGGCAGGTGGGGCAGTTAGGAGTGGCAGGAACATTCTGGTCCAACTGAAGGACTGTCTCGTGTGATGCCATGAAGAAACTTCTCACCTTCTGGAGAAGGAAGGATGAGCCTCAAAGCTCTTCCTCACACCTACCTGTGGGCCGGGCCAGTACCCATCACCCTGCCCAGTCAGGCTACAATCTTAGAGATAAGGATTTAAAGAAACTTCACAAAGCTGCCTCAGTCGGGGATTTGGAGAAGGTGAAGGAGTACCTTCAGCTCAAGAAACGTGATGTGAATATACGGGACAGACAAAACAGGTGACCAGATGGATGAAGGGCAGTGTGGAGGGATACCAGGGTCCACTGGGTCCTGTAATCAGGAGCAGGACTCGTCTGTGCTTCTTTATGGGTTGTCACTACAGGTTTTCCATAGTGGAGAGGTCAGGTAACCATTGGCAGAGGGTCACACTTCTAAATACAGCTTGTTCTCTCTTTTATTTTTAATGCTTACCTGGGTATTTGAGGGCATTTGTGTCCTCCCTGATTGCCTCCACTCCTCCCACTGCATTAATCTAGTTCTGGCATTTCACCCTTTATGCAAACTGCTGTTTTTTAACTTGATACATATATATTGTCCTAAGCCACCTAAGATTTACCATACTACTAATATACTAATAGGAAAAGAGTAGAGGAGACCTCCCAGAACAGTAGTTGTTAAGATTTTAAGAGTTTGAGACAGCAAAACACTGGACTTTAATGTGGATCTGCTATGATTTTTTTTTCAATTGCAGAGTCTCTTCAAAAAGTCCATCAACAACCACTTACTGCAAAAACAAAATTAATTTTATCTATTAAGAAACATAGAAATTATGCATTTAACTTTAATCACAGAAAATATGTACTATCTGTGCCTGCCTTAAAATCTTTGGGAGAGTTTTCAAGTCATAGGGTATGAAGAACATCAGTTTTCATCATAATTGGCTTACTGGAAACTATGGTTATTAAGAAATTTATGTCAGTTTCCTGATAATGTTATCTTTGACACAAACAGAGTTATCTAAATTTATCCAACTTTTATCCTACAGCACTCCATTCAGTTACTTTACAAAGTCATGGATAACCTCAAAATGACTTTATTCAGTAATCAATTCTTAGTCTTACCTGGCTGGTATCACAGCTAAGTATCTCCATGCCCTATAAGTAGTATTTGAAATATTGACTTTTGAGGACACTTGGTTCACCTGGCACTTCTCCTCCTTCTGTGGTCACTGCTTTTCAGACTCTTTTGCTGATTTCTTTTCTTCTTCCTGCCTGGTAAATATTTGAGGGCTCAGAACTTGAAATGATTCTCTGTCTCTTAATCTTTACTTGCATGGTGGAGAAAGATGATCTTTAAATGTCTATATTCCAATGCCTTCCACCTTTTTATCTCCAGCCAGAGCTCTTCCCTGAACTCTAGACTCCTATATAAATACCTGCACTACAATGTGGATATCTAATAGAATGTGGTGTACTGGTAAATGTTTAAGAGCAAGCTCTTAGGTGAAGGTGGGAGTGGAGCAAAGGGAGGAGAAGCCCAGATTTCAGGCTACCAATGTGATGTCATTTGGCTTGAATAGTTCTTGAAAATTTAGTAAGCGACTTGTGGAGAGCCACTGGCTCCATCATTTCACTCTTTATACATCTCAAACATCCCCCAACTGTGCTTCCAGTTTTCCTCCTCAGATTTGCATCTCTCTTGCTAGAAATCCCAAATCCTTTCTTTCTGTTGTTTGGCCAGAAACATTCTTGCCTCCTGGAGTCATTCTTGACTCCACTCATTCTTTCATATCACCCATCTGATCTTGTTGGCTCCACCTTCAAATCATATTTAAAATCCAACTATTTCTTGCCACCTTCACAGTTACCATTCTAGGCAAAACCTACATCATATCTTAACCAAAATTACTGCAATGGCCTCGTAACTCATTTTCTGTCTTTTAACCTTTTCACTTTATTCTCGACACAGTAGCCAGAATGATCCTATAAAATGTACGTAAAATGAATCATTCATTGCCTTAACAACTTCCATTGGCTTTCCATCTCATTAAGGTTAAAGACCAATGTTCTTCCAATGGCTCATTCAGCCTTACAAGACATTCACCCTCATCCTGTTATCTCTCTCATCTTACATCCTACAATTCTCTGTTTCCTTCATATCCAGCTTCCCTGGCCTTCTTAGTGTTCCTCAGAAATGCCAAGAATGTTAGGGCCTTTGGACTTGCTGTTCCCTGTGCCTCGAGGGTTTCCCCCCCACCCCCCCCATCCCCACCCCCGATATCCACATGGCTTCCTCTCTCACTTCCTTACAGTGTCTATTTAATAATCACCTTATCAATGAGGGCTTCCTTGACTACTCCATCTACAATTGTAAGTTTGCTTCTTGCTGATATTTCCTGTCCTTCTTCCCTGACTGATTTTCTCTTTAGCACTTAATACTGTCTGGCATGCTTTCTATTTTAAGCTTTTTGTTTACCTCTTCCACTAGCATTTATGATCCATAAGAGCAGGTGATTTTGTCTGTTTTGTTTGCTGCTGCATCCTTATCACCTAGAACCCTGCCTAGACATAGTAAATGATTACTAAGACATTTTTTGATGAAGGTATGCATACATACATACATACATACATACATATATATGTATTTTTTAACTCATTATAGTTAAATTTTCCTTGAAGTGAAACCAGTTAAATATTTGATCTTCAAGGCATTTGCACAGCCTTATTCAGTAAAAAGCAATTAATAATAAATTTTATATAAGGATCAATAAGTACCTGAAGCAAATACCTTAAAAGCAAATGATCTGGCATGTTCTTGGGTATCATAACTTCTCAAACTAAGACTTATCTCTAACTTTGTGTTCTGTCATATTGATATAGAACGTCTTTGCACCTGGCCTGTGCTAATGGATATTCAAATATTGTATCTCTCTTAATTGAGAAACAGTGCAAAATAAATGTCTGTGATGGTGAAAATCGATCTCCATTGACTAAGGTGTGTTAATTTTTCCTTTTCAATTGAAATGCAGTTGAGTTCTTCTAGTTAACTTGGGCTGGATTTCATATTTTAAAATATAGTACTACATGTTAGTTTAATATATCCTGAGTAGTATGCTGGCTACTCATCTATTCTGGTTGTGTTGACAGGCAGTACAGTGTGCAAAGGAGGACTGTGCTACTATTCTTCTAGAGCATGGAGCAGACCCAAATATGGTGGATTTTGATGGCAATGCTGCTCTCCATTATGCTGTCTGTGGCCAGAGTGTCTCATTAGTTGAAAAACTGCTTGAACACAAAGCTAATCTTGAAGAGCAAAATAAGGTAGTCTATTAGAAAGCAATGGAAGAAAGTATTATTGCAGATAATTCATATCTGTTGAAACACATATATGAAGCATGAATTTTCCAAAATGAAATTGGGGAAAAGGAAAAGGAAAATGAGATGATCGAATACTGATAAGGTTTTCTTTTTTAAAAAATCTTGGTCCGTTTCCTTTTAGACTATAATGCTGACCTCCAAAACAGTATTATATTTAATAGTGATAACTATTTAAAGGCTTATATCAAATGATGAATATCAGATTTCCCTAGAAGTAGATATTGGTTAAAAGTCATAAGCCTACATTTTTTTCCTGTCTTATTTATATATTCATAGATAATTAAAATAGGGTTGACATAGAAAATCACTTATTATACTAAAAGTAATTCAGTTTTCCTATTGAAATGAGGGGATTTATTTGTTTTTAAAGCTTCTTAACACTTAAGTTCACTAATATTTTGTCTCCATGACAGCCCAAAATAAATGCCAGGCTTGGAGGTTTAAATGAAATTCTATGGAAACTCAAATGTAACAACATTATGACATGTGAATTGATGGTTTGTAATATTTACATTGAATACTAGGTGCTCATTACTTAAATACTCCAGGCTGCTCTTGCCCACAATTTGAATTAAGCCTAAAGTAGTAACTTTAATTTTAATTTTGACTGATTCAACTCCAGTTTATTTTCTTGGTCTCCAAAATCATATTTTGTTATATATCAAAACCTTTTCAAAATTAAAGTATATATTCAGAGGTTTCTCATTAACATACTTATCTTTTATTTTTGTTTGTTTATTTATTTGTGTTTTATTTTATTTATATCCAACTTAGTTAACATTCAGTGTAATAATGGTTTCAGGAATAGAATTTAGTGATTCATCACTTACACATAACACCAAGTACTAATCCCGAGGGCCCTCCATAATGCCCATGATCCATTTAGCCCCTCCCCCACCCTATACCCCTCCAGCAACCCTCAGTTGGTTCTCTGTATTTAAGAGTCTCTTATGGTTTGCCTCCCTCTGTTTTTATCTTATTTTTCCTTCCCTTCCCCTATATTCATCTATTGTGTTTCTTAAATTCCATATGAGTGAAATTATATGATATTTATCTTTGACTGACTTCACTTAGCCTAATAACATTCTAGTTTCATTGATGTTGTTGCAAATGGCAAGATTTCATTCTTTTTGATCACCAGGTAAAATTCCATTGTTTATATACATCATATCTTCTTTATCCAATCATCAGTAAGTGGACATTTAGGCTCTTTCCATAATTCCGCCATTGTTGATAGTGCTGCTATAAACATTGGGGTGCATGTGCCCCTTTGAATCAGCATTTTTTTATCCTTTGGATAAATACCTAGTAGTGCAATTGCTGGATTGTAGGGTAGTTCTATTTTTAATTTTTTGAAGAACCTCCATACTGTTTTCCAGAGTGGCTGCACCAGTTTGCATTCCCACCAGTGGTGCAAAAGAGATGCTCTTTCTCTGCATCCTCGCCAACATCTGTTGTCTGACCTGTTAATTTTAGCCATTCTGACAGGTGTGAGGTGGTAACAGACTTTTCTTTTAAATTGAACCTAAATCTAAAATCCATATAATATTAGTACCATAGTTTAAATAATCATTTTGAAATACATTTTTCAGGATGGGTATACTCCACTTTTACTTGCCATTACTGAAAATAATGCAGAAATGGTAGAATATCTTCTGAAGAGAGGGGCAGATGTGAATGCTTCAGATAAAAATCAAAGGTATAATAAATTCTAAATAAGAACATATAACTCTAGCTACTTAATAAGATGATATATATGTGTGTGTATGTGTGTGTGTTTATATATATAATTGATGCCTATATGTATTTACATTTTGTGATATTGATAAAAGATCTGGCCATTTATTTTGAGCAAATTACCTAGATTCCCAATATCTGTTTTTTCTGTAAAATCAAACAGTTGGGACAGACTGGTAGGTGGTGGTTGTTGTTGTTGTTATTATTATTATTAACATTAGAATTAGAATCCTACACAGAATTCAATCTCTAAATCCCAAGTGCTGTAGTTAAATGAGCCAGAGAACCCAGAACCCCAGAACCCCAAACATGCCCCTTCCTAGCGTTTTGAGATTTTTGAGATTTGGGTTCCAGGGAACAGGGATTGAAAGCCATTGAGCTAGCTGCTTCCTAGAGACTCTTTTATTTTTAGACTCCATGATATAACTGTGATTGATATACCTTTTTGAGTAGTTCTGCCCCACCGTTTACATTCTTGCCCTGGTTCTTTTCCTGATAGACATTCTACATTTGAGCAGTAAATTTAGAAGACTAACTTTTAAAAAATGTACAAGACATGTCTAAGATCCATAAATACATATTGATGTATCTCTCTTGCTCCAGAACAGCCCTTATGATTGCGCTAAGTGATGAACCAACAAATTTAGTCAGTCTTCTTCTTCAGCAAGAAGTGGACTTATCTTGCAAAGATATTTACGGATTTACAGCTGAGGAGTATGCTTCTTTTAATGGTTTTACTGTGTAAGTGGCACTGCATATCTTTTAATAACTGTATGGGATTTGATGATAAGAAAAGAACCGTGGGCCCCCAAAGTACAGAGCTGGAATGGGCTCTGCAGTAGGGGTGACCCTATTAGGAACTCTGGTCCCATGGACCTAGGGATCTTTGATTTCATCTGATTGTGGGATTCAATCAATATAAGAATGGCAGGTGGACCAGTCTATAAATTCACTCCCAGTGGCATGGGAATTTGAAGTATGTCAGGACAGTGATTTCAGCAATTAGTGACATAGCCAATAATAAAACATCTGCATAAAAACATTGGGCAAAAGACGATTAATCTACACAAGCCTCTTTCAATGTTTTTTACACATTAACAAAAATTTTATTCAAGCTTTGAATATTATTGTTAGCTAACTAGTTTGGTAAGTTTTCAGAATTTTCATGAACCTATGTATTCTCATTAATCTAAAAGACAAAACTTTTCAGGTATGAATGTGCATTTCTAATTTTAATAGTCATTAAGAAGGGCACCTGAGTTGCTCAGTCAATTGAGTATCCAACTTGATTTCAGCTAAGGTCTTGATCCCAGGCTTGTGGGATCAAGCCCCATCGCTAAGCTCCGTGCTGAGCATGGAGGCTGCTTTGGATTCTCTCTCTCTTTCTCTCTCTGCCCCTCTCCCAGCTCACACTTTCTCTCCCTTTCTAAAATAGAATTTAAAAAAGTAGTCAATGAGAAAGTAAGATACAATGAACAGAAATTTACTTTATAGCTAATGAAATTAAACAATATATAGGATATTTTCCTTATAATTTCATTTAAGGAAAAATTTTAATTATACATAGACATTTTTTCTAGTTTATTGTTTTCTTATTCTTCCACCTACTTTATTCACATTTAGTAATATGTTTTAATCATTAATTCCATATGAATATCACAGGGGTGTATATATATATATGCATTATATATATATAACATACATCAGATGTTTATTTTTAAAAATAAATTGAACTTTAGAAACTAAATACATGAAATTTAATATATGAACCATAATTGAATATAATTTCTTTGCAATATTGGACATGTGTACTGCATTTTACCATGGTTTAAGCAAACCATTTTCTTTAATAAAGAAAAAAATTACTGATGAGTATCTATACTATGAAAGAATTCTTCATTTTTATAAAAAGAGTCCCTGTTACTTTTAAATAGGGAGTTTTCCTCATCATTTAAAAAGTTTGGGTATATACAACCAGGAGATACATATGTATGTTTAAAATATCCATTAGCCTGGGGCGCCTGGGTGGCTCAGTTGGTTAAGTGTCTGATTTAGGCTCAGGTCATGATCTCACAGTGAGTCCGTGGGTTTGAGCCCCGCTTCGGGCTCTGTGCTGACAACTCAGAGCCTGGAACCTGCTTCAGATTCTTTGTCTCCCTCTCTCTCTGCCCCTCCCCCACTTGCTCTCTGTCTCTGTCTCTCAAAATAAAAAAGATAAAGACATAAAAAAAATTTTTTTAAATATCCATTAGTCTAAAAACAATACTTGTGTATCTATAATAACTTGTTTACATCTATAAATCTTGTGAAGCTCTTATTGCCTAGTTCAATGGGAAGGAAACCTTGTGATCTTCTTTCATCTCCTCCAAATGGTTTTTCAGAGCATTCTTTTTGTAGTTTGCTCCATCATTAATTTAAGAATAAATAGAACCATGTTAACCATGGAATATTTATCTTCTCAATTTTATTTTAATAGTTTCAGTATTTAAAATTCTAAGAGCATTACATTTCTTTTTTTTTCCGGAAGGGTAAAAGGGAAGGGAGGTAATTTCCTAATAACTAAGTAATTACCTTTAGGATGTGGGAACTATGAGCATTTAATAAAAATTGCAAATAACTCTATGCTGTGATCGAATTCTCTCTGGGAACTAACCTTTCTGTAATCGTGACTTTTGTTGCTTAAATAGGTGTTGCCTATCTAGGGTATTTAGCACATGGCTTCTGCTTATTAGCTTCACTTGTTAGCTCTCTTCTTGGTGCACATCTATGGCTTAGTAAAAGTGGAAGCATAGAGAATGTTTTTTATATAGTTTTTTTTTTTAAATAAGTGAATCTGTGTCAAATGAGAGACATATTTAGCTGTTTATTTTACAATTGGCTTTAACTCATATTGGCACATTCATTTCACTGAAATCCTGAAACCATATGTCTATTAATGAATAACTAGATGGGCTCTTTTCAGGCATGGAGAAAAGATTTAATACTTACTGGATATGTTTCAGTCCCTGACTTAGTTGTCTTTACTTTGTCAATTTACTGTTAAGCCCGTCTTATAAATGAATTGTGTCCCACTTCTATCCCCCAAATCATGTGTTAAAGTCCTAACCCCTAGCACCTCACAATCTGGATGATTGTATTTGGAGAGAGGGCTTTCAAAGAAATGTTAGGTTAAAATTGTCATGCAGTAGGGTTAGTCCTAATCCAGTTTGACTGGTGGTCTTATTAGAAAAGGAGATTAGAACATAAAGGCAAGAATGGTGCTTGCTGCCAGAGGAGCAACTTTTAAGTGAAAAGTCAGTAAGAACAGTCATCTGTAACCAAGGAGAGAAGTCTGGAACAGATTCTCCCCTTACAGCCCTCAGAAGAAACAATCCTTGATCTTGGACTTCCAGCTTCCAGAACTGTGAGATAATAATGTAAATACCACCCACTCTGTTTTATTTTGTTACAGCAGCCCTAGAAAACTAATACACCAATAATAACCTAAAGCTACTTTTTATACCTTGCTTGTGATTTATTTGTGAGAGCAGGAAGAAAAGAAGAACTAAAGAATGGGAGTACATGAAATAAAAATGGTGTCTGTTAATGGAATTGGTTTGAAACGAGGCTTGAGGTCAGCACCTTAGGAAGGCATTAGCTAATGTCTAAGGTTTTGATTTGATGATTATGTACTATGACTTTGACTATTTATGAATGCTGGAATTTATATGTATTTTCTCTTTGTGGATAGGTATCATCAATTAATTGCCAATTATGGAAAGGGGAAGAAAGTTGAACAGATATCTAACTCTGAAGATACAACCTTAGGCACTACATTTGATACAAAAGAACTGAAGGAAGGTAAGAAGAAGATACAAACTGAACAAGCAGTTTTCCTTAATGGTTTTTATTTGTTTGCGTTTTAGGAAAGGACACAGCCTTCTCAAATAATATTTAAATTTGAAATAGAAATTCTCTCCTATTTTGAAATACTAAATATTTTTAAAAACTGTTCTTAAGAAAATTTGTAATTAAAATATTCTGACACTGTGTTGACTGAAAATGTAATGTAAAGAGAAACTGAATAATTAAGATGATTTTTATCCATAGTCTAGTTATAAAAAAACAAAATATGATTAGCTGTAATAATGATGATTGGTTATAAAAAACACAAATTTTAATAAATGTAAAGCTGTTAGTAATTTTTTTTATTTTATTCTAAAAACACGACAGGTAAGTACATTTGAAAATGATTAATATAATATATTTAATCATAACATAAAACTTAAAATTAGGTAACAGTATTTGTGAAGAATTGAAAATACCATACATCTATTAAAATAATTTTTGATGCTTATTTAAAAAAAAAACATAGATAGTTTTGGGAGTATTTTGTTTTTTGGGTTTTTTGGTGGATATGTCATACAGTGACATTTTTATTTGATGACATAAAGATTTTTAATTATTCTCTGTATTCACCAATAATCACATCCCCCCCACCCTTCACCTATAATATAAAAAAGAAGAAAAAGAAAACTGAAGGCAGGGAGGGAACCTGATGGCAATAGGAGGTCATATTACTGTCATAATTATTCAAACACTTTTTCTTCATCGCCTCAAATCTGTAGTTATGATACTTAGAGCAGTGCTTGGTCCTACTGCCTCTAGGTGACGGAATTTCCCTGAATTTTTCTTGTAACTTAAAGTCACATGTGCAAGAAATTTTGTTTCTTTGGACTCTTCTTCTTCATCCTAATGTGCTCCTCTCCTACCATCTCTCTGTCTTTTTTATAATGTTCACACAGCTATAAGAAGTAAAAAATTTCTGTGATTTACACTTTATTTCTTTAGGGAAATAAAGCAGTAGAAACTTAGAAATACCACTCTTATATTTTGAGTATCTCCTGAGGCTAAACAACTAAAAACACCCCTACCCCATCCTTTTACTGATGACAATACATGTTACAGTTTCTAGTGAAATGCTAATCTTTATATGTTTTGAAGCATAATGGAAATATTAGGTCAAGAAAATTGCCAAAAGACATTGCAAAAGATGGTGAACTTTTAAGTTTGTATTTCTGTCAGATGCAAAGGGGATCATTTAGTTATGCATTTTTTTCAAATGACCATGTAATGAAGAAATATTATAGCTATAATATTATATAAAGTATAATTGTTTTGTACCTGAGGCATAGAATTTAAGAAATATACTTGGGAGTGAAAATATCTGAACATTAATGAAGACATTACAAATATTACTTGTTTTCTAGATCTGTAACTTCATTTCTACAAATCCTTTGCTGCTGCCTTGAATTAGAAAATCATTTTGAAAGAGTAATTAAATGAAATATCACAGCATTTCACTTACTACTCATTTGAAGAGAAGTTTGTTAAACAGAGAGCAGTTTTCACCTTAGAAGACGTGAAGAGATTTCAAAAGACAAACACCTGTATCATGAACTGTTAATTGAAAGGATATAATTTGTGTTCAGCTTATAGGCAGAAAAATCTTTTTAGTTATAATTTTGAATAGGATATTTATAAGAGGAAGCTTTGTAACACATTGTGTTAGGCATGCAGTGGAGTATTTAAATAAAGCAAAAATGAAGAAATAACTGATATATAAAAATAGAGGAAATTTCAGCTATAGAGGAAGAAATTATAAATAATCCTGTGTAAGTGGAAATTCTCTTCTATTTACAAGTACTTTCATTAACAAAACCTTTTTCCATTTTTGAGAAATACTGCAATAATACATTTCATGAGAATTTGGGTATTATCAAAAGGAAAATAAGAAAATGAATCACCCAAAATGTCATCTCCCAAACAAAACATCTGTTAATTTTTGGCATTCTTTCGTAGTCTTTTAAAATCTGCTTCATTTTTTTTTCTCACAGGGGATTTACAATTTTGCATTTTTGTTTTTAAAAACAATACCTAGTGCATAGTTTTCACTGTGATCCATATCATGCCTTCAACACATCTATCATGGTGTAGCTATAGGATTCTTCCCTGGAAGACTGTTCCTTGAATTGTCTGCTGGGACACTTGTTCACCTCATATGGGATGTCAGTGAAGCCTTCGCTGGCTGCCTGGCCATTCTGTCACTTAACATGCTTTAGTATCTCTTCCTCTCCCCATAGCTTTTTGGATTGCAAGATCTGTGAGACCTTGAACTTTTTGTTCAGAGTTAAATCCTCACCACTTGTAAAATGTCTGGTGATAAGAAATATTCAGTTGCCAAATACAGGCATACCTTATTTTATTGCACTTTGCTTTATTGCACTTGGAGATATTTTTTTTTGCAACTTGAAGATTTGTGGTAACCCTGCACCAAACAAGTCTGTCAGCACCATTTTTCGTGCAGCGTTTGCTCACTTCATGTCTCTGTGTCACATTTTGGTAATTTTCATAATATTTCAAACTGTTTCATTATTATTATATTTGTTATAATGATGTGATCAGTGATTTTTGATGTTACTATTATAATTGGCTTACGCCACAAACCACACCCATATCAGACAGTAAACTTAATTGATAGGCATGTCTGCTTTGACTCCTCCGCCAACCTGCTGTTTCCCTTCTCTCTCCCTCTTCTCAGGCCTCCTTATTCTCAGAGACACAATAGTATTGGCCTTAGGACAATTAATAACTTAATAATGGACTCTTAAGTGATTGAAAGGGAGAGTCTCATGTCATTCACTTTGTTTATTAAAAAAATTATATTTAATTTCTTTTTGAGAGAGAGAGAGATACACAGCATGAGCAGGGGAGGGTCAGAGAGAGGGAGCCACCGAATCCGAAGACAGGCTCCAGGCTCTGAGCTGGCTGTCAGCACAGAGCCTGACTGGGGGCTCTAACTCACGAACCATGAGATCATGACCTGAGCCAAAGTCAGATGCTTAACCAACTGAGCCACCCAGGTGCCCCTCAGGTCATTCACTTTAAATCAGAAGCAGAGGGGCGCCTGGGTGGCTTAGTCGGTTAAGCGTCCGACTTTCGCTTAGGTCATGATCTCGCGGTTTGTGGGTTCGAGCCCCGCGTCGGGCTCTGTGCTGACTGCCAGCTCAGAACCTGGAGCCTGTTTCAGTCTGTGACACCCTCTCTCTCTGACCCTCCCCTGCTCACGCTGTCTCTCTCTCTCTCTCTCCTAGAAATAAATAAAAATATTTAAAAATAAATAAATAAATAAATAAATAAATCAGAAGCAGAAATGATTATGCTTAGAGAGGAAGGCATGGTAAAAGCTGAAGTAGGCCAAAAGCTAGGCCTCTTATGCCAAATAGTTAGCCAAATTGTGAATGCAAAGGAAAAGTCCTTGAAGGAAATAGAAAGTGCTACTCCAGTTAACATATGAATTAAGAAAGCAAAACAGCCTTACTGCTGTTGTGGAGAAAGTTTTGGTGGTCTGGAGAGATCACCAGACACAACATTCCTTTAAGTCAAAGCCTAATCCAGAGCAAGGCCCTAAGTCTCTTCAATTCTATGTAGGCTGAGAAAGGGGAGGAAGCTGCAGAAGGTAAGTTTGAAGCTAGCAAAGGTCAGCATGAGTTTTAGAGAAAGAAGCCATCTCTGTAACATAAAAGTGCAAGGTGAAGCAGCCAGTGCTGATGTAGAAGCTCCAGCAAGTTCTCCAGAAGATCTAGCTAATACTAATTAATAATAATTAGGATAATTAATAAAGGTGGCTACCCTAAACAACAGCTTTTCAATGTAGAATAAAACATTCTTGGAAGAAGATTCCATCTAGTATGTTCATAGCTAGAGAGAAGTCAATGCCTGGCTTCAAAGCTTCAAAGGACAGGTTGACTCCCTTGTTTGCGGCTAATGCTAATGCTAGTGACTTTAAGATGAAACTATTTCTCATTTACCATTCCAAAAATTTTAGGGCCCCTAAGAATTATGCTATGTTTACTCTGTCTGTCCTCTGTACATGGAACAACAAAGCCAGAACATTTCTTTACAACATAGTTTACTCAAAATTTTAAGCCCACTGTTAACACCTGCTGCTCAGACAAAAAGATTCTGTTCAAGATAGGACTGCCCTTGACAATGCACCTGGTCACCCAAGAGCTCTGAAGGAAATGTGCAAGGAGATTAATGCCTGTTTTCATGCTAACACAGCACACATTCAGCAGCCCATGCATCAAGGAGTAATTTTGATCTTCAAGTCTTATTATTTAAGAAATACATTTGTACACTTTTGTAAGGCTAGAGCTGCCATAAGTAGTGATTCATCTAATGGGTCTGAGCAAAGTAAATTGAAAACCTTCTAGAAAAGATTCACCATTTTAGGTGCCATTAGAACATTCGTGATTCATAGGAAGAAGTGGAAATATCAACATTAAGAGACATTTGGAAGAAGTTGATTACAAACCTCATGGATGACTTGGAGGAAAAGAGTTCAAGACTTTAGTGAAGGAAGTAACTGCAGAGGTGATAGAAACAGCAAGAGAACTAGAATGAGAAGTGGAGCCTGAAGATATAACTGAATTGCTGTAATCTCATGATAATGCTTTAATGGATGAGTTGTTGCTACTTATTGATGAGCAAAGAAAGTGGATCTTTGAGATGAAATTTACTACTGGTGAAAATGCTACAAAAATTGCTGAAATGACAATAAAGGATTTAGAATATGGTGTAAACTTAGTTGATAAAGCAGCAGCATGTTTTGAAAAAATTGAAGTTCTACTGTGGGTATAATGCTTTGAAATTGTATCTCATGCTACAGAGAAATCATTTGCAAAAAAGTCCATTGATGTAGCAAACTTCATTGCAGTATTTTAATAAATTGCCATAGCCATCCCAGCCTTCAGCAACCACCACCCTAGTCAGTCAGTAGCCATCAGCACTGAAACAAGACCCTCCATCAGCGAAAAGATTATTACTCGCTGAAAGCCTAGATAATGGTTAGCATGTTTTAGTTAGAAAGTATTTGTGTTTGGTGTTGATTTATTTTTGAGACAGAAAGAGATAGCGCAAGCAGAGGAGGGGCAGAGAGAGAGGCAGACGCAGAATCTGAAGCAAGCTCTGTGCTGACAGCTCAGAGCCCGACGTAGGGCTTGAACTCACAAGCCATAAGATCATGACCTGAGCTGAAGTTGGACACTTAACCAACTGAGCAACCTAGGCGCCCCTAGAAAGTATTTTTAATTAAGGTATGTACATTATGTCTTTAGACACAATGCTATTATACATGTAATAGACTACAGTGTAGTGTAAACATAACCTTGATATGAAGTAGGAAACCAAAACATTCGTCTTAGTTTATTACCAAGCTGAGAATAAATAGCCCAGGAACTCAACATGAAGAGAGCATAATTCAGAGCCAGTGGTGACTCTCCATGTTAGCAAGGAAGCAACAAGCCACTAAAAGCAAGGCACAGAAAGGCTCCATGGGAACTGCACCCAGTTGAAATCGGGATCTGCAGTGACAGGTGATGTAAATCAAAACTTGCTGGCTGATCTAAAAAAACTGCAGAAATAAAGATAACTCATAGAAGCTATTCATTCAGAGATTATAAAAAGGGGATCAGCCATCATCACTTACATTTGATGGAGACTCAAGCGGAAGCGGGAAAGTGACAAAACTCTAATATTGAAAAAAATGAAAGTTCAAGTATGCTCTGTTTAGGCGTGGTTGGCATGGGGAAGCTACAGATTGGTTACTTAGAAATGTTGCATTTTATGTGATTAATTTGAAGAGCATATTTGGCTTTCTCTGGTTTGTGCCCTGTTGAAAGCAGAAGGAGGGAGGAGTGAAATACTGGGAAATTGGCAGTCATTGACAAGGTTTTGACCATTTTGGGGTGATTGTTGCAGAGCTCTATTTTCATATATGATATGGCTATTGTCCATTTGTGTATTTACTCTTTCACATATATTCTCATATTAATTTCTTTACCTCCTCCTTCTCAAGTATTAAGTCTTGAGAAAATATAAGTACTAAATCAACAAGTTATTATTAAGACGTTTAAGATATTTTTCTGCCTTCTATAATCATTACAAAACAAAAATTTGCCAACTTCTACACTTCCTATATATATATTTACCATTTCCATTGAGGTTTCAGTAGCACAGTGGAAAAGATATGGTAGAATTAAAAGCCTACCTAACCACTTAAATGCAGAAGAATTTTCAAGCTTCTTAATGTAATATAAGGATTCCTTCAATGTAACATAAGGATGATACACTAATCACTTTCAAGACCATTCTTAATGAGGCAGATCTTTTCTCCTTTATCCTATGTTTATTCTACACTTAAGCATCATTGCAATCATGAATCTTTGATATAAATTGTGTTGATTTGCTACATGATATTCTAATTCAGACATTCCCTTACTGTGAAGTATTATGTTTTGTGTTGTATTGTTTCTCCCCTTCTCCCCCCCGCCCCCACCACTGCACCCACTGTTAGAGGCTGAAAAGCTTATCTTGCTCTCTATGTTTTCTTCTTTGGAATTATGTCCATTGGAGACATACTTGTACATTGAGATTACTATTTTAAAGTATGAAACTATTTATGTGTCATAAAATACACCACCAATATTTTCCCAAAGTCTTTCAGTGTTTTAAGATCC